ACTCATTGTTATTCGCTCCTCGCGTTGACTGTAAGTAATAATAATAATATTTAAGTATTTAGTCCATCGAGGACCTTGTACTTATCATGAAGACTATAACCATTACGAATCGCCTACATATCCTTTATTATTATTATTATTATTATTAATATATATATATTTACAGTACACATAGAAGGAAATAGAATGTAAATCGGTACAATAAAAAAAAATTGTTATAGAAAAAACGGTGAGAGACTCGTGCTCAAATGGTGTCACACAAACAATGACCGACACGTACCGTCGTCCAAAGAATATTAATTTTAACGAAGATAAAATTTATAAAATAGAATGATAACTCGATTATATAATATAAGATTCGAGTGGTTGGTCTTAAGGGCATATATAATGAATACGTCATGCGTCACCGGGACGAAAACAATATTTTTGTTATTATTGATGGGATACAATGACTAGATCTTGAGCATCATAAACAATGCCCGAGTAATATTCTAAAATTTTGTAAATTACTTAATGTACTACTCTACTACGCTAATCTAAAATTTTAAATCTTTAAATACTCAAAAATTATAACTAATTAACTACTAATCGTTTGAAATTAGATTTGTTTGTATCAGAATACTACGAAAAATGAAATCAAAAATGTATTTTGTCATATTGTATGTAAGAAAAGTTGTAAAATGACATCAAATTATGTAAAAACTATACTTAAAAAAAATATTATACGTTTTAAAAATAATGAGTGTAAACATTAATCATCTTATAAAGTAATTTGTCACATACAGAAGAGTTTAATCTGCAGCCTAATATACACCCATACTTTCGTTGGATTTGTAAGTAGACTTTCAAGATGCTTCTGAACAGATAAATGTTTAATAATTTTAATTTTCTATACCTAAAGAGTTACAGAATACCGATAAAAGTGGAATTGGTAGCAGTTTAGAAGTTATAGTTCAAATACTAAACCTATACACAATACACATAACACAAACACAAATTATTGGTTTATTTATATTTAAATATATGATTTTAAGTACCGATGATCAAAAAAAAAAAATTAAAACAACTTCTTAAAGTGTACCATAATCAGTTACGAACCAGAAGGAATTTTATCTCGTTTATCACAAAAATATATTTTTTTGTTCTTGCCTAAATGTAAATAATTTACAATTAAATTTTATTAGTTCCGCTATATCAAGTAATACAATATTCCATATTTTATCGTATTATAACAAGACAACAAGTAAAAATGACATTTTAATCCATCAGATCACGTCCTCTTAAGTACAATATCAATCCTAAATTAAAACCACATGTCTACATAGCACACTAAAATCTATAACTGTACTATTATTCATCATTTATAATATTAGTCATCAATATTCATTACACGGAGAACAAATATATCAAATTTCAATAGGTATAATAATTAACATTATATTTGATGTTTAAAATTTATCAAGAACTTAGAACGTATCATATTGTAATAATAAAATATATCTCCATCCTGATTCGTGCTTCCTAAATTAAATACCTATATCATAGAAAAAACTATTATTATAATTTATAACTTCGGTCAAATGAAATCACGTTTAACGTAATAATATATCATATATAAGATTTTATATTAGTTACATTAAAATGTCTATGTAATGTATACCTACCACATTATTAAACAAGTATTATTTTAAAAACACATTATAAAATTGAGAATTAATTATTATTACACTATAAATCTAAATAGTTTAAAAATGCAATTATATTTCTGTTAATTTACATTTTACATAATATATTATATAATTGTTCAATAGATACTATAGTGATAAAAGATATATATTGTTATATACAATTTAAAATAAGTATAATATTTTTATGTCTGTTGTGTTGGAAATCTATCATCTATTTTATGTTTATGTGACAAATATAATCCATAAAACCTACCTACCAACGTTACGATTTATGCATTTCATTAGTTACACATATAATAATAATATTATACATTTATAAATATATTCAAATTATTACTAAGAAGCTTTTTAATCTTCTTACTAACTCAACTAAAACGACCAAAAACATCATAATTTATAAAATTAAAAACCAAATAAATGACGTATACTTATATTTCAAAATAGAATGTTTTATGTGTATGAGTAATAATTGAATAATTTAAAAAAATTATTTAAAATATACAAAATATTATTAATCATCTATCTCCTAAACAGTCGCAAGAATTTTTCTCTATAATATTAAACTACACCTGTCTATATACATAATACATATATGTTCGATGGTCGTTTCTAATACAATGTATGCAATATGCATAACCAATTGAACATTATGATTTTGTACAGCAAAATAATAAGCAGAACACACAAAACATCATTAACTGTCAAAAATATTGCACTCGTTTTTTATTAACCCTAATATTACGTGATTTTAACACAATTGAAAATTTACTACGCTCATATTTCGGTGACTTGGTGATGTTTCTTATATTTATTCAGGAAACAAATCAACTAAACTTTAAAAAAAACCTCTATTTCCATTTTTTAAGTCCCTTTTTTCTAAAATAATTTGAATAAACAGATTTGTGTGGTTCACGGTCCGCAGAATTTAACGACCTGTGTAATTTCGCCTTGTCAAGGCCGTCGCATACGAAACTATATAGTTATTAATGTTATTATTACTTATTATAATTGGAGGTTCTACGGCAATTGAATCAAAAATTCAGCTCGAAATGCTAATTTGCATCATACACAAATTCGTTATCAATAAGGTTTGAATTTATATGTGCTAAAAAAATCACGAAATAAATTCCTTAAAATATGCGTTTATGTACTAAAAATTCCCAAAAATACTGTAAAATATACTAGTAAAGTCACGATGTTATTAAAAAAATAAATAATTATTATTAATACAAAATTAAATCAATATTTATTCATTCATTTATTATTGTTTAGTAATAATTTTAAAATACATATATAAATAAAAATATTAATTTTTTGACATTTTACGTCAAGTTTTTATTTTAGTTACAAATTAGTGTTTCATAAACAAAAAAAATCTTATACGATCTTAAAATTGTAAAACATGCTCTTAAAACTGTAAAATAGTGAAATATCCACAAAAATGCACAAAAATACTCCAAAAGAATTCATATTTTTAATCACGTTTTCATGACACATAATATTTTGTGCTTACTGTACGATTCATCAGTAATAATATGCAAATGTATACAAATCCAAGCCTCTATCAGTCATTACGATCAGTTTTTAACTTGGTAAATGACAAACTTCAGCATAATTAATATAACGGTTAATTTTATTGATCGCTTGACTATAACTGACGTAGGTACCTACTACCATTAGAAAGTAACAACTTTAGAACCTACACGACACATACACAGGTAGAATTACATTAATGTATAATATTTTCTTTTTTATTCCTACTATTGTTTAGTTTTCAAGCCCTGAAGATGTGCAATTAGTTTCTAACGGAAAATAACAACAAATTGTTCAAACTAAAATCCATTGATTGTAGTTCAATTAAATTTTGCCAGTAGCAGCACATTCCATACACGTGCATATTATTTTGATTTAAGCAATTTATTTTCAAGATATTTGGTATATAGTATAAAATATACACAGAAAATTAATAACCAAATCGTTACTAACATTAGGTATGTGTAATTTTTTATTACAACCTTGAATGTAATGATAATTAATTACATATTGTAATACAAAGTGCGTTTAAATTTGTCATATATATAAATAAAATTAATAGATAACATTACCTTTAAAGTATTATAATAATATTTAAAATATAAAAACGTGCAACTTATTTCAGTTAAACGGTCAAATAACTATACAAATATTTTTGGATTTTAATTTAAATGATAGATAATTTATAATTACCATTAAAAATATTAAATTTATATGTTACTGTTTCAATAAATACAAAACCACACATATTCAATCCAGTTAATAATTTATAAAAAAATTATTCAATTACATGAAATAGGTTTTTACTCCCTAAGTTAGGTTTTAATACAGACAAACATAATTCATTAAAGATTATTCTTATAAATACACGATATTTACTGATTTACTTTGAGTAACTAATAATAGTAATAGTAATGTGTGTCTGGGACAAACATTACAACACAAAGGTGTGACGAACACATTATTTATAAAAACACAAAACACTTATATAACCGATCAAAACAGATCCACGTGTAATGTAGGTACTTAAAATATCATATCTATAATACCGACTATACTTGTAGCGCGCTTTCACCCTAATGTAACATTCATTGCTTTTAAACAACACATATACAGTGTATATTGTCCTAACTATGTATAGCAATTGTTACTTGTCCCCATCCCAACTGACGATCCACAAACTCATTTTGAGCACTCCGCAAAAAGTCCTTTTTTCATTTCGATCAATTTTTTTTAATTTGAAAGAGATTTAAAATTTAAAAATGATCAAATGTACTTAGCGATCGAATTTTTATAGGCTGGAGTTATAGATACTTAAAACTCCACCCCCTATTATACAGTGATTCGCACCCCGAGGCGGTTGAACATTTGCGACTAACTTGAGTTAACAATCGGGAGACCTTTTTTTTATAAGTACGGTCGCAAACTGTAAACTACAATATCGTGAACTACTCCCGCAAATAATAGAAAACAGTTTCTTAAGCCTTAGGAGACCATAAAAGAAAATCAGAAGAAAAGCGAAAACTCCGATGTTTACGAACTCCCGCCGGTAATACATAGTGGACGCGGCGCCACGACGGGCGCGAATAATTAATGTTTGTAATGTACACGCCAATACTGTTCATTACAAGTATGGACGACGAGTGTAGTGTTGCAATAGTTGACAAAATAATTGTCAAAATAAAATATTTGTTATTTGCAGGATCGCCTGCAGCAGGATTTAGTCGGTGTCGCGGTGGCGTGCAACCGGTTAGGTACGTATAGGTAGTAGGCACGTACCTTTGGCGTGTCATCGCTGTTGGCGTCGATCCCCACGAGCTTAGTGGTCGAACCCATTGGGGTGTGACTGAACGGGGCGGCCGCGCCCCCGCGGAAATCCGCCGTGGTCCCCACCGCGTCGGTCGCGGTACAGCAGCAGTCGTACTCGTCCCAAGCGGCCGCGCCACCGAAATCGCTCAGCCCGCTTTCGTCCCGGCCGCCCGTTGAAGCCGCGTCCGTCGTGACCGTGGTCGACGTCGTAGTTACCGCCGTGGCCGCGTCACTACCGCACGCCAAATACGTCTCGCGGTCGAAATTGCAACAGTCGTGGCCGTGACGGTTATCGTCTTCGTGTTCGTCGTCGGCTACGGCAGTAGCGCACGCGAACGCTGACACTCGCGGACTGACTGGTCTGACTGACGATATCGGCGGCGGCGGCGGCACGGGCAGTCGTGACTGCGGCGGCCGGCCTGCAGCCGTGATGCGCTCTCCCCCGCCGCCGCCGTCGCCGCCGACGACTGGTTCCAGTTTGCGGAACACGCCGTAACACGACATTTCGGCGCTCGCCACTTCCGACAGGGCGTGCGACGTCATCATCGTCGATTCATTCTTGCCGCGCATCGCCGAAATGTTCGACACCGACCTTGTGATCTGCAAATGCACACATACAACACATTATTTCATACGTACGTTAATAATGGGCAATGATAGTTGAGTAACGACTCTGATGTGTTGCATACAATAATATAATATTATAATATTAGTGTATATCTACGAAAACTTATTGCAATGCGTTATGTTAATAATTAGTAAATGTTATTAATTTTAAAATAATATGATTTATTTATCATTACTTTGACTGACTAGGCTTTTTTTTCTTTTTTTTTACATAGTTATACATTAATTTTTAATTCATTAATTTAACTACACGACGGCAAGCATACAGTAATATACATGATTAAAATAACATTAACAAACACGTTTTAAAATACAAATAAAAGTTGACATAACAGTATTTGAATAGTCATTATAATATAACTGTAACTACAAATTTAAATTTAAAATTTAAGTTCACGAAATTTAAATTTAAAATATAAGTTGACATAATCGTATTAGTGACTCGTTTGCAAAATAACTAGTAGTAGCATGTGGAACGTAAAAAGAACAGTTTTTCGAGTTGAACTCTGAGGTACCTACTTTAAATAGATCCATAACTGTATACGGCTCGAAACTTGGTACACTTAAAAAGTACTAAATATGCATGCACTTAACGTATACGTTTATAATAGTATAAAATAAATATGCTTTAAAAATATGCCCTTATTATATTTTTTTCTACTCACAATTTTCATGGATACAAATATTTTATAATTTTCACTGAATATGAATTAATAAAAACGAGAAATCGTACGTCAACTAAGGATTTAAAAAACACGATACAATAATACCTAGAGGTGAAAATATTCAAAATAAAATATACACTATAAAGTATTTTTTTTGTTCCCGAATTTTCAAATTATATTATAAATATATCATTATCAAAAATGCCTTGAACAGTGGTAAAATAGAAAAATATGCTCTTAAAAATACAAAACCACTAAAAATGCAAATATATGCACTATAAACTTACGTATAATATTATTTTCGTAAGGTCGTGATATTAATTTTAAGTTTACTTAGCAATAATTTTAATAGCTCAAAAAAAATATCCATATGCAATAACTTCCAAGGCCTATAATTATAAAACAAATGTGGAAGATTCAATTTTTCCATTTAACAATTTTTCGATGAACCATATATATATAAATTAAGAAAAATTGATCGATTATATTTTCTACCAGCAGTCTGGAATATAATTATGAGGTGAATAAGTAATTTTGAATATACATAACTGGCAAAACGCAAAAATTATACTCTCTCAAGCTACCTTGAATCGCCAGCTGTATGGGAATTCCGCACAATATAACCATACTCTAGCTAGTATTGAGCAGACTAAAACATAATATAATACTTCAACAGACATGATACCTAGTTGAAATTCTTTTGCCAACCTCGTATCAAAATCAAATGTTTTAAATGCCAAAAAGCATGCATATTCTACGTATGTTTATTTATAAATGATAATCATGTAATCAACACTCGACACAATGACGGCAAAATTCAAATAAGGTGATTTTTGTTTTCGCATACATTTATTTTTACATATAATACATACTATATTATACTATGTAGTATTTATTACATAATATAATATGAAATTATTATTCACAAATAATAAAATCATTTGATTCCAAGATTCCGTTGAGAAAATTGTACATGCTGACTATCAACCAATAATATAGTATACTAATTAATATTACATAGGGATAGGATTAATGTATAGATATATCCACCGAATGAAAGTGTTACAGTTATTATAATTAATATTATAATAAGATTTTAACACAATTATTTTGAATATTTTGATTGCAATAAATATTTCTGTACTTACCCACTACTTACTACTATTTCATAGATACAAATACACAATTTAAAAATATATCAACAATGTGAGGCAGCGACAAGATATCGTAGGGAATTACTTTTAAAGCAAATTTGTTATAATTTCAAATTGAACAAAAGCAAATTACAGCGTGGAAATTAATGTTATCTAAATTTAAGACTAACTGACAAAACATTTACTATCCAATCTAATTATACCTAACTTAGTCTATATAAGTACTTCACTCTAATCACACTTACAGTACTTCTATTTTTAAAGCTTAAAAAAAATGTCTTTGTAAATTAAATACCAATATTTAATATATAGAGCAAATAAATTTGTGTGATCATACCTATAGATACAATAATGGTAATAACTACCATTATAGTATTTATATTTTATTACAATATATATATATATATCCCAGACGCGCGTACCATCTTGCATTCGTTCTGCATTATCACAGAGTTCTAACATATAGATATAAGTAGGTATTTTTGATTACTTTATAAACTGTAATAACATTGATTTCAAAATATGTTTTAAAACCAACGATAATCATCATTTAGTTTGCTACATATATGTATGTAGGTATGCCGGAATAGAGTCATTTAATGATTTTCTTCGTATATTATACTATCAGATCATCGGTTAAATAGATTTTTATTTAATATCATGTTAGCATTTTATAGTTACTATTAATACTATCACATAACAGTATTTAATTTTAAATACTTAAATTGATATTGTAAAAATAAAAATTAAAAAAATCTCTGTGTAGGTTTTATAAATATTTAATACAATAAAGAGTAAATAAATTCAAATGGTTATTTTGATACTTAAATTTTATGTTAGGCCAATAAGTACCTATTGACCTATAAACCGATATTATAAAAATAAATACACCAGTACATCACAGTAAAAGTGGATGTAAGCTAGAGGAGTTTTCGAGGAAGGCAAGACGGGAAGTTATTTCCTATCTTGTAGTTTTTTTTTTTTTTTTTTTAATGTCTTATTTTATACGAGTAGTTCATTATTCTGAACATAAACCGTTTTATGATAAAATTAATATTAATAATTATGTACTAGTGACTAATAATGAAGTTATCCATAGATGATAACATTAAAACTAACTATATCTAAATTATTATATATAAATATTTAACAGGAAATAGGAACTTAACACCAATTATTTGAAAATACATTACAATACATCGAATAATGTTAATACATTTTAAATAAAATATATTAAAATATATCTTATAAGTTACCTATAAGTTTATAACTGTAGCCTATAGGTAAGTATTTCATTCATTATTATGATTTTTAACTGATGTTATTATATATCTTTAAAACCTAAAACAATCACAGACAATTAGTTTTGTAACATAGGTATGATTATTAGTATTATTACCATGTAGACTCATTCATATAAATTATAACCACTCCTAATCGTTAAAATCACTTCACATGAAATATTTCAATTTTCACATTGTCATTCAGAGTTTACTGATTAATTTTATTTTAATATAATACATTTGGCTTTAATCCACTCTATACTTAAATTTTACTTTTTGAAAATATATAATTTTTTTTTTTTATACTTGGATTATTTATGCAGCTTAATTATACGCACATTTAACGTTAAATTATATAATATAGAGCTTAATAAATTAATTTCCTCGCATTAATTTTTTTTTTTAACAGTTATCAAACGTCATATAACATATTCTTAGCCTCTTTCTACTTTTCTTTCTAAATTATAATTAATATTCTTAAAAAATAAAGAAAAAAATCATAATTTCCATACTAAATATTAAAATCTAGTTATTCCGATTAGTTACCGCCAGATGTCATTTGTATCATGGATATCATCAGTATAAAAATTAAAAACAGCTGTTGCCATTTGAATTATAAAAATAGAAAAGATATTTATTTGTATAAACTTTGTGAAAATATAATAATAAATTAATATATGAAAATTAACCGAAAAAATTAGTGTATTACCTCATATATCCGGTTAATATAGACTAGGTATAGATAGCTAATAATTGAAGATATAAGTTTTAAAAATATTTAGTTTTTTATACGAGTACATTTGTTTCGTGGTAACTTTGCAAAAGAAATTAAACAATAAACAGTTAACTTATTAGTTTGTATAGACTATATTTCACATGTGCAAATAATAATTTATTTATATGTACCTACACCTATAAAAGACGTATGCAATAGCAAAATCAAATATAAAAAATAGATAAATTTGTATTGTTTACAACGAAAAACATTGTATGTTTTTGACGTGTAGATCATATTTATATTTAAGTGATAAAATCATATTGTATTAGTAGTATCGTTGATTTTATAAACAATAGCATTATATAAGATTAAAACTTAACTAGCTACCGAGGGAAAAATAATATACGGAAATAAAAAAATAAAAAAGTTATCATTCAATAATTAACATCTAAAGACTTCACTATGACCTTGAATTCTAGATGACCTTCTATAATAATTTACAATTTAGAACAAACGTATGTATACATTATTTACCAACTATAAATCAGTTATTTAGTTACATATTGACAAATATGAAATAATAATCATGTTTTATGACTATTATTTTATCATATTTAAAGTTCAGAAAAAAATTAAGGGTACTATAATATAAACTTTTAATAATTTTCTCACATCAATATTTTATAGGTAAAAGCACTTGTAATAAAAATTAAAAAATTATTCAAACATTATTTTATGTACTATATTGTTTTTTAAGTTAATTGTATCCAATAATGTAACTATTGTAAGAAGTAAAAACAAAAAACTATCGAAGGTCAATTAATAATTTAAATACAATTTCATACAACAATCTTAAAACCCAAAGAAATAGATTTATCATTATTTAGATGGTTATTTATTTATTTATTTTTTTTTTTTTTTGTGTATATTTAATTATTTTTTTACTCTCTACAATATTTATACCTCACAATTTATAAATATATTTACTTAAATCTCAGTAAATTATAATAATAATAAATGATAATTCCTAAATTATATCAGTTAGTGTCGTAAATCTTAAATTCTATCATATTGTCAAAAGTCAGACATATACATTGGATATTTCCCAAAATGTTCTATAATTCTATTTATAATTAAAATATTATAAATTTAA